TTTCGGAAACTCCCATTTAGGGTCTCAGCTTCGTTTTCTTGCGAAGTACTTTAATGCTTCGGGCTTCAGGTCGTGCAGAGGGTCGAACCTGTTCGGTTTTGGCACATGAAGTTTAGCTTCGTGTTTGGGCATAGTATAAGGAACCCGCAGGGCAAGATGTACTGTGGAGTGCTTTACAGTTTACAGCATCAAGTGTCTTTGAAATCCATTCGGACAGATGTCCCGTGGTAGGTGTGCTCCGGGGTTCCGCATAATCCAAAGGAGGGATGCCGTTATAGGTTTTAGTCCCGGCTCGGCCGCTAGATATGGGACCGAGGCTGGTTGCTAGCGTGTGCCGTATTTGGCTAGCCTCACAAGGGGGGGGGGGGGGGGGGGCGCCATGGAACGGTTGAGGACCACGCCGGTGACTTCCGCTCTGGGCAAGCTGGAGCAAAGCGACAGCCAGCCAGGGCCCCAGGGCACATTCCCCTAAGGGTCCATGTACCCAAATAGTATTACATTGGCCCTAAAGTACCTATACGGGGACTACATTAAGGCCAAAGTATATACTATTTGGGTACATGGCCCCTTAGGGTTCCTACTCCCAGACCATCTCCCTCGTCTGCAGGGTGGCTCTTCGAGGTCTTCGGTGCAACGCGCATGTCCTTGGCCTTGCGGTGCAATGTGCCAGCGTGTTGCAAATGGGTTTGACCTGCCGGGACCTGGCTGGCAGCCATCCCAGTGCGATGGCAGTGCGCCGCAGATGAGGCAAGGTGAGCTGGCAAGGAACTATCTTGGACCGGTGCAAGCACGCCCGTCGTGTCACTGCCGTTTTAGGCATCGCGGCACGGTGGGATATTGCCATGCAATGTTGTCTCGCTGTCCGGGGCTCGCCTACCCCATCGGCATGGGGTCTATCGGGAATGGCACTGGAGGGTTCCATGCGCATGCGGCTGAAGTGCTTTGGAAGCTTATTTGGGAATCCCCTCCATGTCCTAGACGCCGAAACCAACTGCAGCAAGCTGCCGGAATCCGGATCAACTGATTGAACTCCTCTTCACTGAGGTAGATCTCACCTGGGCTTTGGATTTTGGCTCTGGGGTTATGGAAACCTTCTGGATTTTGGGTGTAGGACATGCTGACTGCATTGCCATCGAACCTCATACTAGTGAATGACAAAATTACCTTCGTCGCAATGTAAATTCCTCATTGTCTGCATCACCACCATAATCATCATCATCATCATCATCAACCTCAGCACCACCACCATCATCATCACCATCATCATCATCACATTCCTCTTTTCCGGGTGCCGGTAACCTACCAGCAGACGGCTTTTGCTGCTAGGCTTGTCGGTCTTGCTTTCACGGCTTCGAGAGTAAGCGAAACGAATATCTTTGGAGATCCCTATGAAAGCAACCATTTCAATTGACCTCGCACCCGAGAGCCTTACAAGAACCTCGTGCAGACTTGGCGAGGGCAACATGCCTTTCTTTTTGAATGCAGGCTCTGACCATCAGATGAAAAGCCGGCCTAAACCCTAAACCCTAGACCCTCTTGGGCTCTTGGACGGGTTTAGGATTTACCTATAGTCTCCATTGTAGTTCCTTTTTGGGGGGTACCTTATCAATTCCTTAATATATAACTGGTTAAACCAAAAAACTAACAGGAACTACAATGGAGACTATAGGTAGGGCCTAGGGTAGACATCCCACCAGGCGCCTTCGCAAAGATCGGGCATCTGGGCCGCAGGTGAGCGCGGCGAAGTCTCCAAACCTGGGCAATTTCTCTGTAGCCCGGGCTCAGGAATCTAAGCTCCAGGCATGCACCCAGATGGGTGTCTAAAGTCGGAGATATATTCCAACTGCTTCGTTCCGGGTTCTTTTGAGAGATTGGGAATGAATCTTTTGGTTGCAGGCTGTGGCCCTTCTACTACCCTAGATAACCCTAAACCCTAACCCCCAAACTCGACCTGAAAGCCCTGTGGTTGTAAGTAGGTCGGCCGGCCCTTGGGGGAAACCACATGGGAAACCCCTTCATGGTAGCTACTGACATCAATGCTGACCGAAATGCATACATGAATAAACGAGCAAATGAGGAAGTACATACGTACGTACATATGTCTATACATATATATATATATGTGTGTGTGTGTATGTATGTAAACACATACCACAGACAGACAGAGAGACAGACAGACAGAGACAAACAGAAAAGCAAAACATACATATATACATACATACATACATACATACATACATACATACATACATACATACATACATGCATGCATGCGTGCATGCATGTATGCATGCATACATACACACATGCACACATCCGTACATGAGTACGCTCATACATATGTACATTCATCCATCCATCCATCCATCCATCCATCCATTCGTTGATTCCTTCATCCATCCACCCATTCCACTCCATTCGATTCATTGGTTTGTCGACTTACCCACTTAATGCTTGTTGGTTGATGAGTTTAATACTTACTTGATTACACTTGGTTGCATGTGTTTAACATCTTGGTGTGTGTGCGGTGTGTGCGTGTGTATGTAAGTTATGTATGTATGTATGTATGTATGTACGTACGTACGTACGTACGTACGTATGTATGTATGTATGTATGTATGTATGTATGTATGTATGCGTGTATGTATGTATATATATATATAAATAAATAAATAAATAAATATATATATATATATACATACATACATACATATACATAGGCGTAATCTATCCACATATATTCGTATATACTACACACCAACTGCATGTACAACATTGTACGAAAGCGGTAAGTACATAAAATGGGCTATCAGTAGGGTCCCTGGGATGTCATAGAGAGTCACTAAACGAAAAGTGGTTGGTATAACAGGACTGCGCATCAAGTTTGAGGAGGACTAGAATAGGACGAGAGGAGTATAGGAGGTTTGGGATTACTGACCTGTGCCAGGCCCAGCCAAAAACACTGAGAGGGAGGACGCCAAGCTGACACTTCTGAATTCAACAATTGACAAAAAAAAAAACATCACTGGGCTCAGGGAGGCTGAGGGTTTAGGACCTTGGTGTAAGGTTTATGGTTCAGGGATCTCAGCGCCCCAACCCGCAAGCCCTGAACCCGCAGGGTCACCAGCCACAGCAGCACTTGCCAGCACGACGGCCTGAAGCCTACCCATGTACCCTGATGTGGTTTCATGTGGGATGACACCAGTTTTTTTTGGAACTAGTTAACCCAAACAAGGCACTACACTCGAGTGTTTGCGGCGATGGGCAGTTGGAAGAACCACGATACTATAGCTTATAAGTCCCATTGCGTGTGAACACGACATCACGAACTGCCCTGCGATGAAAGCATCGCGCATGTGTTGGCAAGGTTCCCTTCATCCGATTCGTAGTGACGGTAGTGTTCTCATGCGCACTTGGAACCAATGGCCTGTACCTACACGACCAGCAAACCTCAAACCCTGAACTCTCAAATGCACAGATCGCCACCAGGGGGCCGAAGGCAACTGTAGCTGGCTGCGACGTGGCTCGACTCCGTACCTCTTGGCTCAGGGTTGCAAGGGTTTAGAGGTGCAAGCGTCTTTAGGTTTCAGTTCAGGTTGAAGGTGTTTGGGGATGGGGTCGACTGTGAGGCTTTCTCTAGCAACACCGAGATAAACACACCAAGTTGTACATGTTCATTAACCCGTCTGACCATCGCCGATACAATCACGGCCATCAAAATGACCCACACCAGAAGAATCCTGAGGCGAAGCATCATCCTCTTCTTCATCATCACAACCAAAGTAAAGATCACAATCACTGTCACCCTGACCGGCCTCACCACCGATGCCAGCAACACCACCCTACCACCCTACCGACACCACTACCATCATCATCACCATCACCGCTACCACGTCCTCCTGTTGCACCAGTGATCATCTCTAACCCTTATGCTCTCTTTCACAGTCAGCAGCGTCACCAGCACCATCAGCCGCTGCTTTCACAAGCCAATGCCTCAAATTCATCTTCGTTAAAGGAAGCTACAGGTGGGGAGTTTAGGGTCTATAGGGCTTCTACAAGGCTTCTATGAGGTATACATACCTTCTATAAAGTTCCTATAACTTTAACTACCTACCTGAAAATGTCCTAGACTTTCAAAAGTGAAGCCCAGGATCCCAAATCAACTGCAAACGGAGACCCTTGAATCCTAGACAACCCCTGAGAATGCGATGGGGAATGTAGGGGCCTTAATAATTAGAATAGGGTCTTGGGGTATACTATACTATAATTCTGGCAAGGAACCAGCAAAATAGTATAGGTTTTTATTTAAGCCCTTCTATTAATTGCTTCGGCTCCTGTTAAAACAACAACCATAAGGTTGGAACTTGGAACCCTCTCGGGGCCTGTGGGTTTCGGGCTTACTGTAGGGTTAAGTAACCCAATGAGGCAGGTGCATCTCGGCCGAAAGCTTGCTGGGCGTCGATTTCAACAACCCCGAAAACCCAAAAAACTATGAAATCCTAATCCCTATAGATCCCTTGTGGAGCCCCTTTAAGGAACCCCTTTTAGGAACCCTAAAAAGCCCAACACAAACCCTGAACCAAGCCGTCAGGCCTTGGCCACGCGCTGGGAAACGCAGCGGACCAGTTTGGCGAGCTGCTCTGTCCTTTCTTATCCAAGGTTAGAAGTATGGGCCCCGAATATGGGCCCTTAGGGGGGTTCTAGTGTTCCTTAAGAGTACATATAGGAGTATATTGGTATATAAGGGTCCTAGGGTTAAGGGCCCATACTAGGGGCCCATGGTTTCAACCTTAGATCTGAAGGTTTAAAGGGGTTCCTTGTAAAGGGGCTTATATGGACTCCTTTAAACGGTCTAGGGTTTTGGGGGTTTTGGGTTTCGGGTTGAGGGGGTTTAGCGTTTCAGGAGTTCCTTCAAAGGGATCCTATAAGGGTGTAGGGCCTAGGGGTCTTGTGGGTTTGGGGCTTTGGGCGTTTAGTGCTTAGATTTTAGTAAGAGATTTTTTTGTTTTGTTTAACGTGTCCTGTCTTGGAGTCTTGCTTTGTGTTGATGGCTTAGGGGTTTAGGGTTCATAAGGGTTCAGGGTTTAGGGTCCAGTGTTGCGGATTTATGGCTTTCAGGGGCTGCGGGGGGGGGGCGGTAGCGAGCATTTAGGGTACTATACCGGACTGCAAGTAAGGTAGGTAGCTTGCCATATCTACTTGCGACACCAAAGCTAATAGCTTATAATACCCCGAGCCTCTGAACCGTAATAACGCTACACCTAAACCCTAAACCCTAAACCGTACAGATGGGCAGTTCTCTAAAATAGGGTCCCTTTTAGGAACACCAGGCACCCTTATAAAAGAGACCCTCAAGGAAAACCCTAACTTAGAGAACTACCCGTAGAACTACAGGATTCTAAACACGCCAAACCCTGAACCCACGGTTTAGGGTTTAGGGGTTTAGGGTTTAGGGGTTAGGATTTAGGGTTTAGGGTTTCGGGCTTAGGACACTACGTACGTATAACCTCCATGAACTTTTTCAGGTTCAGGGTTTCTCAGATAGACCAAACATGCAAGGCCAAAACGTGTAAAGCTCACCCATTGGCTATCTAAGTAGATCCCCTAAACCTTATAATTAAACCCGACCCTAAACCCTGTAAAACCCATAATCCCGGAGCCTAAGGACCCAAAGAAACAGAACAGTATGGGAAAGACCAAAACCGAAATCCAAGAGTTGGGGATCTCCTCTTTGGGATACTCAGAGCCGGGTTTTAGGTGTTACCAAACAAATTTCCGAAAAGCATTGAAAACCTCTATAAGAGCTTTTGTAAAGGTGCTTTTAAGAAGTATAAGGGGCTCCAGGGCATTATGAGGGCCCGACAAGAGCTACTCAGTGGCAGGAAGTTGCGGTTGCTGAGACATAGTACGGGAACCTTATAAAAAAGGACCCCTTAAATCGACCCCTCAGTTAGAAGACTACCCGTATAGAAGCCGTATAGTACCCTTATAGAAACCCTTGCAGACCCCTTAAGGAACCCGAAATTGCTGATTGATCCAGGGGCATAGAAGCCTAACAGTACCCTTATAGAAACCCCACGGAAAACCTTCTCGATCCCTTTAAGGATCCCTAAAAGGAAACCCGGGGAACCTGATTGATCTAGGGGCATGTAGTATGACCCGAAACCCTGAACCCCTAAACACTGATTCATCCAAAAGGCATGTAGTTTGACTCGTAGGCCTTTGCGTTTCGAAGGTGGGCCTCGTTCTCTCTGAGACCATTCATCGTTGCCTGGACGAAGATGGCCGTGATGATGTTAAACCTGGGTCCGCGGGGTTTAGTGCTTCGGGCGCGAGTGAGCAAGGTCCAGATTCTACCTGCTTCACCACCACTCGAAACGTCATCATCCTACGGGTTCCACATGTCTCCAGCTCGCTTCAAGCCCGAAGCCCCAAATCCCAAACCCCAAGATCAACAGCCCGAACTCTCAGCACCCCATATACCTTAAACCCTAAACTTGCTTTACTGCTAAGAAACATTACGTTGCTTTGTTTTTCTGTGCAAGTAACTGGAGAAGCTACCCGAAAGAAGCAAGCAAATTCGCCAGCCGCTTCTGTTGCAGCGATGCCGTTTTCTGAAGGCTCGCCGGTTGCTCTATGAAACGTTCACTCAGTGGTAAAATCGGCCCCATCCAAGAGCCGTAGCAGTGTATTGTAGGTGTACTATAGGAGTCTGATTTACAGCATCTCTTCTCAGTCCCTTTATATGATTGAACAAGGTTCATATACCCCAAAGCCGTGTTCTCGTGCTGGGTCTGCTAGGTGGGTGCCCCCGCCCTCGACAGCGGCATCCATTAGGGATTCCAGCAGTCCCGAAGACCGCAAGTCAGCGACTTTTCGTCGATGTATGTTACGGATTTAGGGTTTAGGTTGGGTACTGACCCCATACAGTAACAGTCTATAAAAGGGCTACTATTAAGGGCCTAATATATCCATAATATATGCCAGCAGTACCCAAGGTTTAGGGTGACCCTACCAAATGCCACAGCCTAAAACCTCAACCCTAAACCCCGAATTCAAGGTTTAAAAACACTGCTGCATTCCGAGCTCTTGGTTCTGCTAAAACGCAGGTACAAGTTCAGCTGTCTAGCCTCAAGTTGGTGGTTTACGGGTAAGGCTTTGAGGGTTTAGGGTTTAGGGTTTAGGGTTTAGGGTTTAGGGTATAGTATGGGGTAGGGTGAAGAGTTAAGGCTTTGGGCTTTCGGGCTCTGGATTGGGGCATAAGGTTCTAGGTTCAATTGTCCAGAGATGAGTTGCTTACCGGCAAGACCCAACCATTCGATGTCACTATTCCTGGGCTCACGGTAAGGGAACGATCTCTGGACCTAAACGCCACCCCCAAGCCCTATACTCTACACTCTAGGTCCTGAGTCCTATGACCTACAGCCATGCCCTAAACTCTGACTCAAACCCCAATGTAAGCCCACACGGTTCGGATTTCTGCAGGGTTCACGTTGCAAACGTTTGGTTCAGCTCTCTCTGCCGCAAGGCTTACTCGTGTCTTCGGTAATACAGGAGGACTCTTAACTAGAGCGAGGTTCTATGAAGGTTTGAAGAGTTTAAGATAGGGGGCCTCCAAGGAGTTCAGGGGGGTTCGTCGAGTTTATGCGCGGGGTCGAAAAAAGCTTTATCAGGTGGATGTTTAGGCCATGAGTTTGAAGAGGGTTTGTGGATATATCATAATGTGATTATACATGAACTCTAATATTGGGGTGACCCCTGAACCCTAAACCCTGAACCCTGAACCCATAACCCTAACTAACCCCTAACGCCTAAACCCTAAAATCTTAACCCTGAGCCCTGAAGCCTAAAACTCTGCGGGCTGCCCTGGCAGCTTTTGGGTTCAACCGGCCCGCTTTTATCCTAAACCCATAGACTCTAAATCTAAACCCCAAGCCTGATCTCGGGTTCCTTTACTATAAGGGGTCCCTTTAAGGGGATGGCTCTATATAAGGGCTCCTTTAAGGGTTTAGGGTTTAGGGTTGGTCTATATGAGGGTTACTATAAGGGGGTACTCTGATAGGGATTTAGTTGAGGGGCCCTAAACCCAATTAAACCCTAAACCCTAAGCCTTACACCCTAAACCCTAAACCCTAAACCCCTCAATCATAAACTCAACCCTGAAACCCTAAACCCCAAGGCTTCTATGTCAGGCTTTGCGGGTCGAGTGGCAGACCGAAGATAACCACCACCATGGCGAAGGCGTAGAAGAAGTCGAATTTCAAGCCAAAGCCGTCGCCTTCAGAGGGGAGTTGAAGGGAACCCTCAAAGGAAACCACCCTAATGTAGGGGCCTTATAGTTAGAATAGGGTGTTGGGGCCCATGATACTATTATTATAACAAGGAGCCCCCCCAAGACACTAGTATAGGTAATTATTTAGGCCCCTATATTAAACCCTTCAAAGAACCCTAGAAGGAACCCCCCCAACAAAAAGTATAGGTTATTAGTTAGGCCCCTATATTAAACCCTTCAAGGAACCCTAAAAGGAACCCTTACAGGGTTCCTTTAAAGGGATCTATAAGGGTTCCTTGAAAGGGATCTATAAGGGCTCCTTTAAAGGGATCTATAAGGGTTCCTTTAAAGGGATCTATAAGGGTTCCTTTAAAGGGATCTATAAGGGTTCCTTTAAAGGGGACTTCGAGCTTCAGGGCGTGATGGGACCGGGAGCCCTAGGTTGAGGGCCTGGGGCTCAGCGTCTCGAGCCGCTTGGTTAAGAATTTAGGGTTTAGGGTTTAGGGTTTAGGGTCTAAGGTTGAGGGTTTAGGGTTTAGGGTCTAGAGCCGAGGGTTCGGGGCTATACTTCAGGAGCCCTCAGAAATTTGGGCTTCGGGCCTCGGGATATAGTTTTGGAGGTGAAAGGCCTGGTCCTAAGGGTCCATGTACCCAAATAGTAGAACATTGGCCCTAAAGTGCTTATATAGGGACTACATTAAGGCCAAAGTATATACCATTTGGGTGGTTGTCAAAATTATGGTCCTTTTTCGGATCCTTCTAATAGGGCACCTATTATTTAGGGTACCCCAAAAGGGACCATAATTTTGACAACTACCTATTTGGGTACATGGACCCTTAGGGTAGGGCTCAGGGCTTTTAGGGTTTAGGGATCACGGTTCTGGAGCTTCTGGCAGCTTCGGGTCTCGGAGATTTTGGGCTTAGAGCTTCGGGCCTGAGTTTAGGGCTTCTAGGCCGGAGGGCTGGGGTGTTTGGGTTTTCCAGCCCCGGGTTTTTAGGGTTTAGGGTCTAGGGGTTTAGGGTTTAGGGGTTTGGGGAATACGGTTTGAGATCGGTTTATAGGGTTTAGACTCCCGCAACTCGGGCAATGCAGGCGAGGTTGGTCCATGGTTTGGCAGGGGAGGCGCAGTTGGCCCCAGGTCGGCGTGCTCAAAGACTACACCCAAACCCCTCCCTCAGGAGGTCGGAAAGGATTTCCCAGCGCGCGGCCAACTCGGACCAGTCCGCTTCTTGCGCTGGCACTGTCAATGCAGGCAACGCGGATGCCGGGATCGCGTGGTCCGACACCCAGGCTTCTTCTTCGCGTGCCTCCTCCTCCGTTTGTCTCTTTCTTTTCTTGTCCTGGTCGGCCTGGATCTGTGTCTGCGGCCTGCTCCGCAGGGAGAGCCACTGCCAGTGCCTCCGCCAAGAGCACGTCCTCCTCCGCGTCCTCCGCGTCCTCCTCGTCCAGGAGCACTTCTTGTGCAGTTGGTCTCAGGCATGTTGACAATGAAGAGGCGGCCTGCCAGAGCACCACCGCCACTGCGACTGCCTCTGCTGCTGCTGCTGCCATTTGTGGTTTTCCTCGTCTCTATGCTGACGAAAAAAACTTCTGACTTGCTGAGCGGCTAGCTCTGTGTTGCTTACACTACTATCATGCCCAGTATCTGTACAGGGGGCTTGAGTCCTGCCAGTATCATGGACTGCTTTACAGCTTCCGTCATGGATTCCTTAATTCAAGAAAACCTG